AAGAATTTATCTTAAACTCAAAAAATACCTGGTTGGTTAAGCCAATAATCTATTGATATGCAAGAGTGAATTTCCTTCTATATTTTACTGATTCAAATATCAATTTATAATGGTTTATTGTAAGTCATTTAATTATGGTATTAAACAATTCACTATTATCACTAAATGCAAATACTATAGATTCAAATACAAAAATGGATAATATAAGCAAAAAATTCTCTTCATCTTCATTTAAGAGTACAATTTCATTTAAAATAACAAATAAAACATTTTTGCTTTTATTACCAAATGCAATAAATTTATTTTTGTAGGCACTTTATATTCTAAACGGATTGCTCTTATTGCTATCAATAATTAGATGATTTAAAACTGTTCCAATTACAACTGTATATTCAAAAAAATCAATTTTCACTTCTAAATCAACTTAATCAATTTGAAATAATTTAATACTAAAAATTATTTTATTATGTGTGATAATTTTTAAGAGCCTAAATTTCACTGCAAATAAATAGTAAAATTAATTTAATTTTAAGCTTTTATTGGATTTATTTTATCTAATTATATAACTTCAAAGTCAACTATTAGAAGAAGTTTGCTATCATTTTAAAGATTTTTTTTCCAACTATCATCTGCTTCATTAATAAACAGTTTTCGAAAGAGCTATAGTTTCTAAAGTCTTATTCTGATTATCAAGTTTATTATCTAAGAAAACCAAATTAAAGTAATCCAATGTTGTTTGAAGCAGTACTTAACTAAGGGTTTTGTTTAAGTCAACAAGAAACTGTTTAAACTTCTACTCAAGCGCATTAATAGTTAAACTAAATGTATTATATTGATTAAATAAAACATACTACTTATATATTTTAACATTTTTAATTATACTCAAAATTATCTGAGAATAATTATTTGTTTGAAATTAGAAATAAGGTAGAACTTTGTAAAAATTTCAAATCAAGTTTACAATGAATGACTAATTTGAAAGAGAGAGAGAGGAGAAATCATTTGGGAATAATAGAAAGAAAACAAAGAACCAAAAGGGTTATAGAAAATAATAAATGATTTTACAATGAAAGTTTTATGTGTAGCAGCTATCATTAGTATTATAATTGATGTTTCAACTAGCGCTAATTTTAAAATAATTATAAATTTTGTGGATGATTAAAAAAGAACAAAAATTCTAACATTATGGTTTGATGAATGTAATAGCATTTATTATCAATTTTTGAATTCCTTATAATATCACAAGCTTTATTGATCTTTGAGAAAAATAATGAAATTTTAAGTTTACTGGAGTTAAAACAATCAAAATTAAATCTTTGATCATATCTCATTAATCCCTATGAATTAATGGTAAAAATGCAAGACCTCCTATTTATTGGATCAAATCTAAAATGTTTTAATTTGGATAATATGTTAAAGGATTAGGATAATAATTAGATTTATAAATTTGGATAAACTTTATAATCTAATTGAATGAACTAGATTACTAATAGCATCTGGAAGTTTAAATCATGATGGAACTGTTTAATTAACCGTCACAATTTCATCAACAACAGTCTCTACATATTAGGGAGATAGTGCCTTTGATTTAGGCAATTATGTAGCAATAAAACTCATAGTTGTTTATACAGTACAATATGGTACCCATAATCATATAAAACCACTTTCTTAACTACTATTATGTCATCATTTTCCTCAAGAACTACTTCTTTATATAATTTTAATCTTTTTATATGTATCTAAATAAAATTATTTATTATGAAATTAATTGATTTAAATAATCCTTCTTTGATTTAAACTAAAGGAAGTTTTTTGATATATTAATGATACTCCTTTTGTTTCTAAATAATCCTTTCAACAATCCTATGACTATGAATCCTATTGTTGAAGCCAAACCATAAAGAATATATATGTGTAATAGATAAATATGGATAAACATGTGTTGGAGAGTCATGGAGAAATTGCAATCTCATATGAGAATAGAAGTGCTTAAACTGATGATTATGCTGAAGTTCACATGAGAATATTACTAAGAACAGGACATCCAGTTAAAATACAGAATTTTAGATATAGTAACCTTTTGCTTATGATCTAATACATCTTCCCCATTTAGATGTGGATTGTTATTAAATATTCATAGAATTTAAAAATGTATAATAATTAGTGTTGGGTATTAAGTTAATGAATAAAATGAATAAAAATAGAATTTCACATTTATAAAATGTTTTTGAAATGACTATAACTAGTTTTAATTATAACAGCAACAATACCATATTTAGTCTTTTCTGTTGTTATAAGGTTTTCAAAAGGGTAAGTATCAAATAATAAATATTTTTTTATTGATCTTTTCCAAAAATATTAAATCCTATCATCGAAAACCATTAAAATTTTAAGTGGTGAAATAAGTTAAGGTCTTTAAAATACCTAAAAGAAAAAAGCAGCATAGTTGGATTAAATGGCTGCAAAAAGGTATATAATTGTACAATTGATAGAAAGATTTTTAGGATGTTAAAAAAGGAAGAGTTTTAGTAGTCAAAGATAAAATTGATGTTAGTATTTGGATTTAAAGCATAAAAGATCTAATTGGGTTTAAATTGTATTAGAGTTAATTCAATGTATGGTAATATAGATGCTACGAAACAAGAATTAATAGATACATTAAAAATGAGAGAATGCTTAAGATTTTGCTAGTAAATGGATAAGGA